TAACCCTACTCACCCTATGTCAGAGGTGTGGAGTGGATCTCGCTTCACGTGGAAAGTTGCAAACTCATGTGGAACAGTACAACGGCGGAAGTACGAGTTAGGAAATATATTTATTATTTGTATCCTTTCTCAGCCTGTATCTCCGAAACTATTTGAGTCCCCCCCTTATATATATATATATGAAATGACTCGGGAAGACATCCCCAACAACATATTTAAAAATAAAACAAATCGGAGAGGAAGTCGCTTTTATGCATAATTACCAAATATTTTGTTAAATAAGTTCATTTTTACAACAAAAACGATAACTTTTAGGTGATAAGTAAGAAAAAGGCTGAACGACAAGCGCAAAACTGCACAGAACTCGTAAATCAAGATAATGAATTTAATATAGGTGTGAATTATAAATTATAACTACACCATACAGTATGCATATTTCGGCTATTACTTAAATATTTTTTATGTAAGAAAATGTACTGTATTAGATAAAAAGAAGAAGAAAGCGTTCCTAGATCTATTATTAGAGCAGAATGCGAAAGTTGACACTCCCATGACCGATGATGAGTTGAGAGCACAAGTTGACACATTCATGTTTGCGGTAAGATGTCCGAGATTTTTAATATATGTATATAGTTTTCTCGCTTACTTGGTATCTATGTAAATCATATGTAAATTATGTGTGAGTAATAACAGGGACACGACACAACTGCGGTTGCGATAATCTGGGTACTTTTTCTTTTGGGTAATAATCTCGAGCACCAAGAAAGAGTTCACGAAGAACTCGAAGAGGTTTTCAGAGATTCTCAAGCACCAGCTACTGTAAAAGCATTGTCGCAACTGAAGTATCTCGACAGAGTTATGAAAGAGACGCTCCGATTATTTCCAAGTGCACCTTTCATCTCGAGGAAATTATTCGAAGAAGTAAAACTGGGTAAAACATAAATTTACTTGACTAAAAAAGAAATTTTAAAGAATTTCCTAAAATATAACTTCATTTATTAAGCAGTTACTACACTAGGAATCACTGATGTTTTCCCACATGAATTTAGCCATAAGTGGAACACGTGCATATACCTACATTTTCCAAATATGTATATGCCAAATGTATAAATGTATTGATATGCGTGCAAATTAATGTGGAAGGGGGATCAATGATTCCTAGTGTACAATGCGAGAATGTCTTTGGAGGAATTTTTTAAGATTTAGCATTTAATAAATACACACACAACTTATAAAAACAAACAAAAATTAAAACAAGTTATATAAAGATCCTGAACCTTATAATTTTAGAAGATTAATTCTTGAACAATAAAACACTTCTATTAAAGATTGTCAATTTAATATTTTATAAGAAAATGCAGTGTGTATTTTATTTGTCTTCTAGATAATTATAAGAAATTCTTTTCTATTCTAGATAATTATACAATTCCGAAAGATGTCACAGTCACATTGGCAATCTATTTAGTGCATCGAAACCCGGAGGTCTGGCCGGACCCATCGAAGTTCGATCCGGATCGCTTTCTTCCAGAAAACTCAAAGAACAGGAATCCGTATGCCTACGTTCCGTTCAGCGCTGGACCGAGAAATTGCATAGGCCAAAGATTTGCTCTACTGGAAGAGAAAATCGTGTTGACCGCTCTTCTGAGGAAGTGGAGGGTGAAAAGCGTGAAAACTCCTGACACGATTAAGTACGGCGGCTCTCTCATTTTGAGACCAAGCGAGGAAGTATACATGTACCTCACGCCCAAGAAATAAACAGTTTACTAACAAATATAATATATATGTGCTTATTTATAATGCAACCTTAATAATCAATTACACAATTATCATATTTCGCTTATGTTTTAGTTTACCTTTAGACAATAATCGACAGATTTTTTGTTGGATAATATTCCATATTGCCCGTGTCTATTTGGACTATGATACATCTATATTTATTATTACACATAACAAGCGTGATATTGTTTTAATTCTTTCAAGAATAAACATTCGTAACACATAATTGGCACGCCACCTTATCCACACATCATTAATTCGCATGAATTAATTGTTGTCCGTATAATATACACACATTGTGCCTGGATTGAAAATAAAGAGGAAGGAGAGAGAAGTAGTTACATGACAAGCCGGTTTAGCAAAACTATTACACGTTTAGAGGGGAACTATTACAATTAAGAGTGATGATGATAGCAGAGATGACGAAATCATGAAAACTATGTACATACTTATATTATGTCTCATAATACGATGAAAATAAAAATAACACTTTTATAATATCATAACCAAGAAGTAATCTTGAAGTTATAGTGTTACGTCCTGTAGACTCCACGATTTCTCTCTTTCGAAAACGATAAGAAACACATGTTTTTTCTTCCCTTGGAAACTATTATTTTAGGAATCAGCGGATATCGACTAGCCAACGCATGAGTCCCCTCCCCATAAAAATTTATTGTCTCGAAACGTAAAGTGCCCTAATTGTTGCTGGTCGATAGCCGTTGAAATAATAAAAAGGGGAGAAACAACAGACAGATGGGATCAGGCCCTTTCAGACGGCAATTTCAAAGTCCAGATTTCCTAAATATTAACATCCGAGACACTAAGGGGATTCAGAAAGGATATATGTTGACCAAAAACATGACCCAAAAGTAAAACTCGGAATTTTTCGAAAGCCGCTGAAGGAAATGATACCCCTAAATAAATATCAAAGGGCGACAACGACTTAATGGTCGGGTTGCCAATAAGAAAGACAACCCCCTGACACCTCCCACTAATCCACCAATGAAGAACCAAAATCCAAAATCTCCTTCCGCGTCCCATGACCAAGACCCACCCCCGAAAAATCGTATATAAACCCGAAGCCTGCTGGCTCAGCCTCTTTGGCAGCTCCCGAATCCATCAGCGCATCTCAGCGATTCTCCGAGTTAACGCTCTTTTACATCGTTATATTCTTTCATCCAATCCAAATAAAATCTGTGCGCGATTTCGGCCGACGGACCACCTATTTGAGCCAGCCGCCTTCGACCAGCTACCGTGTGGACCACCATCGATCACAATCAGTAGTAAGTCGCACGTTGTTTTTCTTTCCCTTTCGTTTCGGCTCGACGACCTCCCTTCCCCCTATATATATATTTTTTTTTATTTATTATTCTGAGGGACCTTCGCTAGATTCTAAAAATCTCGTTCTTACTCTCGCGAGTTGATTTCAAGATACCCTTCCATCCTTTAAC